TTTACGGTCTCATCAGCTTCGGATGGTGTCAAGATGCTGCTGCAACTGATGATGATCAAAGTTTGCGTGTCGTGACACCATTAATGCCAACAGTTCCACCAAGCACAACAACTCCGGAGCCAAACCGGTAATGCTGTTTTTCAAAAATGAGATACAGTAATGGACTTCTTTAATTTAGGCCAGGTACTTATATGGTGATAGCTCCCTCAGTTGTACGTCCTGGATTACCATACTCAGCTTCTGTTAACATTCTCAAAAGCTCAGATGATGATCATATAGTACGTTTCGAGATTCAGACGTCACAGAATGATACGATTGCCACAAAAATAATAAACAACATTAAACAAGGTAAGCAGCATGCGTGAGTAAGCTTCTTCCATTGACGAAAATGATTTGTTAAGGTTTTCCTCAGACAGTCACAATCGATAAAGTACCAGCTGATGGATTATTACCAGATAACTCGTACAAAGTATTGTTTTCATTGTATAATTTCAAAAACATATTTTGAATTTCATCAAGGCTTACGTACGCTGTGAAACATTAGGCGGAAGACTGTTGTTTGAGGATGAGAAGGAGATACGTTATCATCATAAATCCATGTCATTGTTTGTACAAACTGACAAAGCCATCTATAAGCCAGGATCTTCAGGTATACTAGTTGATTAGAAAATTGAACAAATCCATTCTTATGACTATATTCTTGCAGTCAAATATCGAGTGATTGTTGTAAATCCTGATCTGAAACCTGTCCAAGATAAGATTGAAGTTCGAATTACTGATCCCAATCAAAACACAATTTCACAAGAATTATCGAAAACATTAGAAAAGGGTGAGTAGTTCTTTCATAATAAACAGATTATACTATATGAATACTTCCTGTATGCAACCGCTCTCTGCTCCTTCAAGTTTCAAAATGAAATTGAATGAACTCGCGTAATAGCATAATGAGTTTATGAGAGAGATCAAACGTCGTATGCGCAAGCAGCACACGCATACTCATTCATTCATTCTCATATTCAAATGAGTTAAGAATAATTTATTTTATTCTTTCTTTAAGGTTTTATTTTGTTTTTTTCTTCATTTTTGCGTTCACGTCATCCTTCATTGAAACATCATGCATAAGTGTGTTGCGCAAATATGTTTTTCAAGGCAACAATTAGTTGAATGTCTTCGTAATGGGCAAATATTGAATTGAAAAGCAAAAAAGAAAATATAATTTTATTTCTTCTATTAATCTTTCATTGTTTTGTAGGTGTTTATTCATCTGAATTACAACTGTCATCTGAGCCACCTCTCGGTGACTGGCTGATTACCGTCAAGACTGAAACTGGAGTCTCATACACAAAGCCATTCACTGTCGAGAAGGTAACAGTGCTGTTCACTTATCTTTCATTTATTTCTATCTCTTCAGTATGTTCTACCCAAGTTCGAAGTTACTGTCAAGAGTCCAAGCTTCATAACCGTCACTGATGACTTGACCATTCTTGTTGATGCCAAGT